ATTCGATGCTAAGCTGGCAGGCAAGGACCAGTAGAGCTTGGCTTGGGACCGAAATACTACCGCTATCGTCGTCAAGATTTCTGCGCCCTGATTAAAAATGCCATCTATCCAAGATTGTTGCGTTTAGATACCTTGGCATCATCGTGAACCCAGGAGTTCAATTCCGATGGAGTTTGCAGCATCAGCTCTCTCCAGTGAGCCATCTGTCAAGGACGGCTCAGGAAGTCTCCCTGAATCCGGGAACTGATGCTCCAGGCTTTTCACTGGCCTGTGAGAGGATATGCTGCCTGCACGATTTATAATTTGTGTCATTCTCAAGCCGCAAAAGAGCGAAGAAGTCAAGTTCAGAGACATGCGCTTTCTGTAAACTGTGCTGGTGATCGTGTACGGCCTCACAAGTACAACAATACGATCGGCCTGGAAGGCAACGAAGTCCAAGGAACGAGGCGATGTGAACCTTTTCGATTTAAGTGGATTGTAAATTAACAGGACTCTACCGCACAATAGATTAGGCTACTGGCCATCATGATATTGTGCGAGCCTTGCATGCGCGTGACAAGACAGCGCAACTCTTATGCTGGCGCCGGGCTAAAGTCATCGGCAAACAACAATACCTTACCTACCACAATGGCAAGCCCAGCGTTAAGACACATGCAATGTACAATGTACTGATGAAGTCCTTGTAGTGTCGCCGACAGAACTGCCTATTCAATACGGAGTCGCTCAAGTCTTGAGATCTCTTGACCTACCATACGCTGCCTCCTGGCAAACGACCGGCTCAGGAAACACGATAATATGTGTCCTTCAGTATTTGTAGGTGCTTTTCGTCAGATGATTTCTCGGGCTCAACAATGGCATGCAAACCTTTCCACCTGACTCGATGGCATCGCTACCTGGCTTCACTAACAGTCCATGATGCTGTCCATTGGGCCTCGGTAAGGGCAAGGAAGTGGCGTAACTTGCCCGGCTTCGATAGTCTTCACAGATGCCGCCGCTAGAGGTAATATCTAGTTCACGGTTCGAGCTGTGAGTGCTCAGAGCATGTGCAATTTACGCTTCACTAGAGCAGTCAGTGGTGAGTCGCGCGCTGAAAGTGAATTGGTATCATTGGGTGTTCTAACCTCATCGCGACGTACGATGACGCCCGCTTCCTCCACGACTGACCAGAAGACAGGCCCCTCCGGAAAGGCTAACCGAGCATGCAGGCATCATCTCAGGCCACTCTTCAGCCTATTGAGGCGTTTCCCTGTTGCCGTGCGGTATCCTCCGATATGTCGTTGTCGTAGTGGTCTTTTTGCGCCCACTCCGCGTTGTCGACGACGGAAAGGCTTCGATGGGACTCAACTTTGTCACCTCGGAGTCGCATTACCAGCCGCCGCGATATCCGCCCCTTCCTCGTCCGCGAAAGCCGCCGCCGCCTCCCCGTGAGCCCCTCGGACCGCCAGAGCCCATGCCGTCGTCTTCCATTGGGGGCGCACGCATACGGCCACGCATCTCTTTAGGAAATGCATCGAATGTTTTCCTCATTTGCGCATATCCCAAGTGCATCTTGCCGTAAAAGTGATCTGCCAGGCGACGGTCGTTGTCGAGACGGCTGAGATAGGCGCCGCAAACGTCGCAGACCTGCAATTTTTGATGACCTGAAGGCCCAGAAGTGTCGGAGAGTTCTTTGAGCTCGCGCTCGCGGTCCAGCTTCGTCTGTTGTGCTTGACGGACACGATAGTATTCGTCCACGGCGCGAGAGACTTCGCCCATCTCGCCCAAGATTTCGACTTCCAAGAGGCCGTTGTTGATGCTGGAGCTAAGCTCCGAAATACCCTTGAGCTGAGAAAGGCGTACTTTTAGCTTATTGAGGCGGTAAAAATGGGCGAAGGGTAATCATACCAGCACGTTTGTTTGCCTGATCTCGTCGGGCGTCTTTTCCAACCTCCTCTGAGCCGCATCTATCCTCCGGTTGCAGTCGTCGATGTACTTTTGTAGATCGCGCATGTAATCGTAGTCGAAGCCATATCTTTGTTTCTCCTTTTCGGTCAAGGCGTCGTACTCGGCCTTCAGGGCCTCCGAATGCACCCGCGGACAAGCGCCTAGGTCTTGCTTCGTGTTTGTGAAGAGATCGTGCGGACAAGTTCCGGCGATGAAGGAGCGGCAAACCTTGGGGTCCGTCATGGAAAGCTGGGCGGCGCGAGTCGCCGCTGAGCCGCCCATGAGCTGCTCGAGCAGCTTCCGTTGTTCGGCGGCCATGCTGCTTGATCGTGTACAGGCGCAGAATGTTATCTCTGGATCGATAAAGTGGCGGGGATCTGTCGGCGGCGCTCACAGGTGTATCGATTGAAGTCGGAGCTTCTCGTGGGATGACCAGGGATGCGGTAGCTTCTGCTGTGAGGATCTGCGGTTTCGCAGAAAAGGATTATCTAATCGAGTTCTGCCGTGTCCCACCGCTTCGTACCTAGCCTACTCGCCCCCTGGTGGGCTGGCAGGGGTCCCGCCTTAACCCAGCGCGCGACTGGACACGATGCTCGACGTCAGGGAGCTGCGGTTCGACAATCCCACCACGATCAACCAACTTTCGCTGGGGATCTAACATGATGCGTCCGCTTCCGGTGCTACTTCTGTCTGCCTTTTCTTACTGCGTCTCTGCAGCAGATTACCATGAACAACTGAATCTTCGACCGCTGCCGCTTTCCGCCCTGCTGGCCAGCTTCAACTTTCGTTCAAACTCGACACTCCACGACTTTGAGTCCCAAAACTTTGGTTACTTTCCCCGGTCGCTCGGGCAAATTCTCCAACATGCTGGCACGAAAGAGCTGCACTTGAGATTCAGCTTGGGACGATGGGACGCCGAGAGTTGGGGCGCTCGACCATGGGAGGGCCAGCGAGAAGGTGGCACAGGTGTTGAGCTATGGGCCTGGCTGGACGCACGTTCAGACGAAGAGTACGAGTATCTACCCAAGACTCGACTTAGCACAATAGCTAACCACGACACCATAGGGCCGACGAGAAGTGGCTGATTCTTACGAACGCACTGTCTGGGCTGTTTTGCGCCTCCCTGAACTTTGTCGATGTCACACGAACTACCCGGCCTGTCATGTCTTTCCGACCAGAGGGCCACCACTCGAACGCCTCCATCCCGAATCTTCGTCTGCTACACGGTGTGCTTCCAAAGGAAGTCGTGTGCACCGAGAATCTGACACCGTTTCTGAAGCTGCTGCCATGCAAAGGCAAGGCTGGTGTGTCGAGCCTGCTTGACGGCCACAAGCTGTTTGACTCTAGCTTTCAGAGCATGGCCATTGATGTTCGCCCATTGTGCCCTGAAATTGGCGAATGCGTGCTGGAGATTGAGCAAACCATCGATATGGTCCTTGACGTCGAGCGCTCCAAGCGTCCGCAGGGGAATCCTATTCCCCGCCCTCCTCCGAGCCAAGATTTAAAGTGCGACTCTTCCAAAACCTACCATGCCGATAACACCTGCTTTCCCATTAGCCATGCCTCGGGCCAAGAATGGCATCTTTCACATATTTTTGGACGGCCCATTACCGGCACGTGTCCGTTGGCCGATCCAGAAAGTGCCCCGGTCTGCATAGAGGTCCCTGAGGCCAGAAGCGTCTACACCTCTGGCGGGGTTTACGAGACAAAAAACCCTAATGGCGTCTCCCGTTGTTTTACGTTCGATGTCAACGGCGACTTCGACATTATACTGCCAGCACTGGACGCCGAAGCGACCGCCGTAGCACCAGCCGAGCTGGTCGACGCGCCCACCCCTCTAATATACGCCGAAAGGTCCTTGATGGGACACGGACAAGAGCGTGGCGGTGTTCAGGCTATCCTGACGAATCCAAGCCCCGACACAGAAGTAGAATTTATCTACATGGAGTCGCTACCTTGGTTTATGAGAGTGTATCTTCACACGCTCGAAACTCGCATCAATGGAAACATCAACCAGCAAGCGTCCATTGTTGAGCAAGTTTTCTACCGCCCAGCCATCGATCGCGCAAGGGGCACTCAGCTGGAGTTGCGCATGCGAATTCCACCTGATTCGACAGTATTCTTGACATACGAATTCGAAAAGACCATTCTTCGCTATACCGAGTACCCGCCAGATGCGAATCGCGGTTTCGACGTTGCCGCAGCTGTCATCACGACTATCAGCCCTCGCATCCAAAGCGTGCGAACCACCACGTTGCTGCTCAACTTGCCAGTACCGGACTTTAGCATGCCTTACAATGTTATCATCTTCACATCGACTGCCATTGCGCTCGCCTTTGGTGGCCTGTACAACATTCTGGTCCGACGGCTCGTTGCCGCCGATGAGGCCCCGAGCCCGCTTGCTCGGGCCAAGTTGGGAAAGCTTCTTGCAAAATTCAGGTCCAGGAAGTGAGTGCGTGTTGACATAAATGTAAAATGATGTTCATCTCTGAGCCCCCGTTGGTGACCTTCACTTCAGTGCCGCTGCCTGAGCGATCGAGATCTGAACCAGCAGACTTGCTTCACTACAGTAGACGTATTGACCCTGGTAGGCGCGGCTTCTCGTACCCGGCGTAGCCCGCTGGTCGAAAGATCTCAAGCATCGACGCCAATTGCACTCAGACTTCGCCTTTGAACAACACACTGCTTACGACTGCTCGTGAATCAGCGCAGTCAGTCCCATGTCGTAAAGCATACTGGGTTCACCACGCCTATCACCTACGGTCCAGTACATACATGCCGTCATCCACAGTCAGGCCACCTGCATGCCGGAAACGTCCAGGGAGCCAATGATTCTACCGCAAAACTTGATCCCATCCCCGTCTCAAGCACAACCTTCGGTCGACCGCGTTTGGACTACAGATTTGGCTGTCGAGCAACAATCAGCAGAAAACTTGTGAAACCACAAGAAGACGTCCTTTTTCCTTCCTGATTGCTTCTGCCCTATGTAGGCCCAGTTGTTCGGTGGACATAAGCGTGCGATGGTTGTCTTGGGTGCAACCCGATGAGCCTGCCCGTTCCCATGTACCACACGGATTCAACCCTGTCCCAACAATGGTGTCCACGGCGGTTACCCGGACAGCTTATAACTCAATGAATTCGGCGTTGCATGGCTTGTCTGACGGTGCAGACCGCCGTTCAGGTGCTGCTGACACAGGCGTAGGCTCAAATAGCGTAATATTAATATTGATGTGGCCCGTCGTTTTTGGCACTTCTATTCAAGCTCTCAGAGGCAGAAGAATGAGGTAACGAATCATGCAACCCGTTCATTTACTACTTGGACTCGTGTTGAGCTCGACGGCGGGTCTTGGGCGACAGACAGATGGCGGATTGGGGACGAGACTTGGCTCATTCGAGACCAATCGATACATCGTCGAGTTCGCCAAGGTGTCTTAATCCTATTGCGATTGCTACACCTTATGCATCAGCTAACATCAATCTCAGGAGTCCGACTTTGATAACGTGAAATCGAGTATCGAGTCTCGAATTGGAAACAAAATCGTCAAGTCGTTCAAAGGAAACATCTTCAAGGGCATCAGTATCGAGACATCAGTCGAGAACGCAGAATCCCTGCACATGAAAAAAAATGTGGCCAATGTCTGGCGATCCAAGACGGTCCAGCTCGATCCTGCTTTAGACAAACAGGACCAACCCGACGATGCAGGCGCAAGCAACTATTCAATCCACCACATGACTGGTGTAGATAGACTCCACGCTGAAGGCATCCGCGGACAAGGCGTTACTGTTGCAATCATCGACACGGGAGTTCAGTACACACACCCTGCGGTAGGCAATCCTCTGAAGTAATTGGGCAGCCTTAATGATAACGCGATGAACAGTTGGGTGGTGGGCTGGGCCGCAAGTACAAAGTGATAGGAGGCTACGACTTTGTGGGCGACAGATGTTTGTATATTCTCTCGATATGAGGCCACTGAGGCTGATTAAGCTTCAAGGGTATCCACGCGGACCCTTTGAGAAGGAACCAGATGATGACCCGTTTGATATCGACGGACACGGCACGCATGTCGCGGGGATCATCGCCGGCTTGACCGAAAAGTACACCCGGCCTGTTCTAAGAACTCTCCTCGCAGCTAACTCTTCTTGAGCTGGGCAGGAGTCGCACCAGACGCTACGCTGAAGAGCTACAAAGTCTTTGGGGGCAGTGTAAGCGGTTTCAACCTCTCTCGCCGGCTTCATCCAATAACGATGTCAGGGAGGGACAGACGAGGAAACTCTGATAGACGCATTCATCAGGGCTCATGAGGATGGAGTAGGCTCTGGCCCCTAGAGTTCTTCCTTCTAGAAACATGGCTGACGCCAATCAAGGCCGACATCATCACAGCAAGTATTGGCGGCCCCGGCGGATGGTCGAGCAGTGCCTGGTCCACGGTTGCGTCTCGTATCGTTGATGCTGGCACCATGGTAACCATCTCTGCCGGCAACAGCGGTGAGCTCGGCCCATTTTTTGGAAGCAGTGGCTCATCTGGAAAGTTTGTGCTCGCCGTGGCGTCGGTCGAAGCAGATACCTATCCTGCGATACCATTTGAGGCCACTTATATCCGTCCCGGCTCAAATGATTCGAACACAACGACATTTGCCTACCTGCCAGACTACGAGCCTTTTCCTCCAACGGTTCGAGACCTTCCTATGTTTGCGCTATCACTCAACGCAAGTGATGTTCTAGTAGGCTGCGAGTCTTTGCCGGCCAATACGCGGAACCTCAGTAATTATGTCGTACTTCTGCCTTTTCTGCCTCTGAGTGTGAATACGAACTGCAGTTCATATGCAAAACAGCGCAATGTCGCTCGCTTTGGTGCTCGATATATCCTTTTTTTCAGCCCACAGGGCGCATCGCTACAACAGCCAGGGACCGGGAGCGACCTCACTGGCGTCGGTATTCTCGATTATGAAACGGCAGAATTCTTCCTCAAGGCGCATAGAACTGGAAATCGGGTGTTGCTTAACTTCTCTGCCGAGTCGAAAGCCAACTATGTCGGCATCAGCAATGCTGGCGGAGGGGTTGCGAGCTACTTTACGTCACAAGCTGCGCTATACAACCTCGAGATCAAGCCCGATGTTGCGGCCCCTGGAGGCAACATCTTCAGCTCGTACCTTGACAATACATACACAGTGCTCAGCGGTACATCAATGGCGTGTCCATATGTGGCTGGAGTTGCGGCCTTGTACATCAGTCAACATGGAGGTAAAGGCATCCACGGTGTCCGCTTCGCCAAGGATCTCGCCATGCGAATCATGTCAAGCGGCCGCGCAGTGCGGTGGCACGATGGCCAGTCAGACAAAGATTATGGATTCTGGGCGCCTGTAACCCAAGTTGGCACTGGCATCGTCGACGCCTACAAGGTTGTCCACTATGAAACGTCCCTGGGATGGTCAAAATTTGCACTCAATGACACGCAGAACCACAGACAACATCAACAGGTCGCCATCAAGAATAACGGGACTAGCCGTGTTCGATACAGGTTCGAGGTGCAAGACTCTGGCGGCCACGACGTCCTGGACAGCAGCGATCCTCCCTTGGTGCAGTTGGGCCCGATTCCGCACGGCGAGACATCCTTCCTCCCCTTTAAAATGACGCCTGATGTGCTGTTACCGTCGGATGAGTTCTGGGTCAATCCTGGGTCAACCAAAAACGCAGAGTACGCAATGCAGCCGGTTACAAAGGCCTCATGCTGACAAGCGTCTAGATTCATCTTTGACTATCCCGACGGGTTCGATGATGATAAGTTGCCTGTGTACAGCGGCAAGATCCTCATATACGGCACGAATGCTGAAGAACTTTCCGTACCTTTTATGGGCGTGGCGGGGAGCATACGGACTACCTTTGCCAGTGTCTTTTACCCCAACTATCCCCGGTCCTCTTCAACTGCGAACGATATTCCCATTGAGGAGAAGCCCACGTGAGTCTGTTTGCACGTGTGGAGACCAGAGACTTACTCGAATCATGCTAGCTACACATTTGACCTTTCATTGGAAGCTCAAGACTTCCCAAAGATCGTTTGCGGCTTCCGCTGGGGTGTGCGTCACCTACGGTGGGATATCTTTGAAGCAGGTTGGGAAGACAGCCGCTGGTTCTATCCGCCGGAAGCGGGCAAGAACGGGTATGTTGGTGCAGCAACTTCATGGGCCGGTGCGGACTACGCCTACGTCTTCAACACAAGTAAGGACGATGAGATGGATCTGGTAGCGTTTCCAGTCTTTGATCTGGCTCGGGACATTCCATATGAGTATTGGTGGCTTGGCCGTCTGGCTAACGGCCAATTGATCGAACCAGGAAATTACACGTGAGTAGGTGACCTTTGATGTGGCCATCGGAGAGAGAAACTGATGCATAGCAGATTTCGCTTCGCGGCCCTGACGCCGTTCGGATCACCGGAAAATGCTCATGACTGGGATGTCTTTGATGTACCCGAAATTCAGGTCGTCAATCAGGCCAGCCAGAGTGCAGTCTAAAATCGAGGAGAGGGCGTGGGGTGCCGATACAATGCCTGTATTCTCGCGGTTTGATACAGCAACATTCGACGCGGTCTGCCCCGGTCAATGGTCTCGTATGATCGACAAGTTCAATGACTTGAAAGAGTTTGTCCGTCTCGGCCTTGAGCCGGCAGACTGAGATGTTGGCAGTGACACTTCGTCTCATCAGATTCCCAGTCCCTTGGCTCCTTTGGTCCATCTGTACAGTGAGAGTACTCTCCTCCGCGCCAGCTTGTGCTCCTCCCAGCCTTTGGGACTGGAGCCTCGTACACTATACAGCGTGGATCGTACGACTCGTCGAAAATTCCGCTGTACAATTCAATTAGATGTGTCAAGTGATGTGGTAAAAGTAACTGACGCACCTGAAACTCTGTGCTCAAGGTCACAACGCAGACCTCGTGGGCTCTGATGATGGTCTCGCATGCCTGCTCGACGCTCTGATTGGGTCCGAGCTGAGGCATCCGGTCGGCAAATAGCAACAGGATGAAGCTACCGTGCAGTAGATATATACCGAAGAGGTACGGCATAAAAGTCAGTTCTGGATCAAACTTGAGAATATCGGACACGGCCTCGGAAGCGGCAATGGCATGCGATGCGCACTCGGCAAAGCGCGACGTCGTGATCCAGTCATCCTCATTGTCCAGCATGCTAATGGCGTCCCACTTGCCGTGCAACAAGACGTGCATGACATGGAGAATATGCGTACTGTATGCGACCACAAGACGCACATCAGATCGATCGTCATGCGTATCGTGACTCCGACTTGGTGGTGGTGGTGCTTGATGACTGTTGTCTGGCAGGCCGGTCACCAGATTGCTGATGAGCATCGGTGTGTCAGGATTTCCGTATGCTGAGTGTCGCACATCAGCCTCGTGCGCAAGCCTGGCAAGACTCTCCTCGCACTCGCATATCATGTTGCCAATGACAGAGACGGCGATACTGTTGTCCAGGCTCCCAAGGCGAGGATGGTGCTTGCTATGGTGGACTTCGATGATGTCGCCGAGGATGACCATCAGCGGGAGGAAGTATTCAAAGAAACTGGAACCAGATATCGTGCTCAGGGGGCCTATCGTCCTGGCTGGCGGTCCGAGAAGGAGCACTTCATCTAGCGTCTCCCAAACGCTCTCCGCCAATGGAGCTAATGCTCTGTTAGGAGCCGACAGCTGGCCTCAACCCGGGGTAGACATACCATAAACTTCACAACTCGAATCCGGAATTTGGAGGACTCGATTGAACGACAGCGCAAGATGTCGGTCGAGCGAATAAAGCAACCAAAAGACTCGTCTCTTCTCTTCCTCAGCCTCAACTGTAGCCAGAAGCAGCTGACCTTTGTGCTTTCGTGGGGGAGAGGACAGTCCGGACAGTGATGAGTCCTCATCCAGTCGGTTCAAACGCAGTGACAGCGCAAGCCTGGCTGCTTTGCTCCACCATTTGAGACAGTCCGACTTGAAGTCGCCTCCGGACACCCCAATGCAGAGGAGGATGAATGTGAGCACATCATCAATGGCACCGGCCGGCTCATTGCTCTCCGTGGTGCTTGGGAGATTGGAGTTGTAGGGGTACTGCTCGGGTACCTGTTCATTCTCTATGCGCAGTCCCCCTATACATGGTAAGTACTATACTTCAGCACCTGTCAACACCTGCCAGTGTGGCTGCTTACCGTGTATTCTTCGCCATCTGTCAGGGTCTCGGTCAGTAATGAGAAATGTGGCGAGTTCGTATAGCGCGTTTGTGACTCGTGATCTCGATCCCGGAACAAGAAGCAGAGATATGTCGGCAGTCTGAGCGCAGCACCAAAGAATTGTGGCCAGAAGCGCCGGCGACATGGGTCGCGGATTTGTTGGATGAAGCAGCGATTTCTTCCGGAATATTCGTGTCAAGATGTATGGCGAGGCGCAGCGAAATAACGAGCTTCCGGGATCCACGAGATAGACATCAAAGAGATCACAAGCCACAGACGCAGGCAAGACATCGCCAAGATAGGGGAGAAGAGGGTCGAGACAGCGGTAGCGACAGTCGGCAGCCGAGACACCATACTGTGAGCCTCTTTGCTGACCGCCGCCCTGAGAGCCATCCGACGGTATCGGGCTGAAGGGTCCGAATCCGTGCGGCCTGACGATTGTGCTGAATGATGCTCTTGCGCGCTGCTGTTGCGGATGCGGCTTTGTCGAGGCGTGTGGATCGTGCAATGGATTGAGGTTTGCAGGGGACGGGTGACCATCGCTGGGCTCCGACACAACAGCGTCACCCAGCCTCGGATGATTTGTGTGTCTCATACCAGCCGCGTAGCCTTCGTTGGCATACATGGCATATGGCGGGGAGATGGCTTGTTGAGGCAAGTAGCCCCCATTGGCCGTGTCCACCCCAACATGAGCGTGTGTCTCTGGAACGGCAAGATTCTGCTGCGGCTCGGCCACCTGTCGCCGCTGATCGAAGGCGCCTGACGGAGGCTCCGATTCGGCGGCAGGCGAGCTCGCTGGATGCTGATCCGGGTACGAGGTCTCATTAGTGGACGATTCGCAGTTGGAAAGACTCCTGGGTGCTGTTTCGTTGCGGGGGGCGCGACCGCGTTTCTTGATTTGGCGGTCATAGTTACAAGCGTAACCCGTAATCTGTGATGGACAGGGGTTAGCCGAAGATGCCTCGGGTTTTACTCTCTTGGCTAGTGCCACAGGCAGAGACTTGCCTTGACAACGTCGACTGCGTGGCCATGTCAGTCAATGTTGAACAATAACCCTCGAATGGATGCTGGGGCAAAAGGCTTGAGAGCCAGCCGTCTTTCACCTACCACGGATACTGGCCGTCGCAGCGGGTCCGAGACGTACTGCACTTGTTCGCATGCGACCCGCGTCCTCTTCCTAGGCCTTGCATACTCCGCGTCCGCCCCATCCTGGCTCCCCCGACCATTCGTCTCGGGCTCGGGAGACGGTTGGCTGCGAATATCCTCCATCGCCCACCTTGAACAGAGGAGTTGACAGCTGTCGTGTTGTTGGCGTTTTGGTACTCCGGGTGCTGTGAAATTTGCCCGGCCAGAGAGTGGTTCCAGCTGCGACTGAGCTGTGCGGCGACGCGTGCAATCGAGGGAGATGCTGAGAACGGGAACTGCGAAGTGAAAAAAAAAAGCCCGACGGGTATTTTATGTTCATTCACCACCTGAGCTGACTCTTTCCCCGCGAACCCCGCACTACTAGCGCTTTCCAGGTACCTAGCTCAGGGGCGTCCAGCGCCTGGAGCCCCCCACATCGCTCGCCTCAATAAGACAAACTCTCTCTTGGCCATCACTGTTTGCAGAATCAATCATTCATCCTCCCACACGCCAAACAGAGCTCCCATGTAATGTGGGCATCGCCGCCACCTTGCCCCACCCCCGATCAGATCCAAGCGCCATCTACTGTGTAGACCGCACCGCTCACAAACGAACTGTCGGGCCCCAGCAGGAAGCAAATGACATTGGCCGTCTCTTCGACGGTCCCAAACCGCCGGAACGCAGTGGGCTCATCAAACGGAGCGTCCTTCGCGCGTCCACTGTGGTCCCATTCCTTCTGCATCAGTGGCGTGTAGACCGAACCTGGCGCGACGCTGTTGACCCTGATCTCGCGGTCTCCGTTCTCCAGAGCCGCCGCCTTGGTCAGACCAATGACGGCGTGCTTGCTGGCATCGTACGCCGAGTGTTTCGCAAAGCCTATCAAGCTGTCAGTCAGAGTGCGTGCCTCAGCATCTGCCGGATTGCGCCAAACCCTTGAGACCATGGATGGATGATATGTTGACGATGGACCCCTTGTCTGCGATGCTGCGTAATTGCGCGCGCATGCAGTACATGGTGCCCGTGAGGTTCACGGCAATGATTCTATCCCACTCGCCATCCTCCATGTCGGTCACTGCGGTGGTGCCGTGAACCTTGCCAATGACGCCGGCCACGTTCGCGGCGCCATCAAGACGGCCATGTTCCCGGATGATGGTGTCGATCCAAAAGTCTACCTCGGATCTTCTCGACACATCAACCTTTGACACCATGAACGGCACCTGGAGAGGCGTGAAGTGGGCCTCAGCTGCTTTCATGGCCTCTGAGTCAATGTCGGCGATGCAGACGGCCGCCCCCCTCATCGAAAGAAGCTTGGCTGTCGCAAGGCCAATACCGCTGGCACCGCCTGTGACGGCATAGACCTTGCCGTGAAGGGGCAGATGGTCATAGGTGAGACGTGTCGCCGGCATGGCGCAGGATTGACGGTGAGTTGGCAAGGTTGACGTTGAGGATCCTCGAGCAACACCTCGGCGTGTGTAGTGCAATAATCAACAATCAAGTGCGGGAGGATGTCCAGATGCAAGAGAATTTTCAGAATTACAACTTGCAATGACTGCGACTATACTAAATAATACTGACAGGTTCTCGTCCGGCCCTCTGATCCGAAACCCGGCCGTCGGCTCTTACATGGCTCCTGGAACTCACCCGTCGGGAAATTCTGCACTGAACGGAGACAAGCTGGGGTAGGGCAGCGGACCACTGGCCGAGACTTCGTCAGCCCCTGCACCCTTAGCCTTTACTTGCATGTGCCTCGTTGAAGACCAGCGACGACAGTAGGATCATTGCCCTAGACTAAGATTTTGGTCGGTCGGTCTTCCCTAAATCTACTCGCGACCTGGGCTTAACCCTCTCCTCTTAACCTGTATACCTAGACAATAGGCACTCTCCTTCCTGTCTCGCTGACAGCGCAGCTATCGATGGCACATCGGCGCTGCTCTCGACGACGGCACTGCTCTCGACGACGGCACTGCTCTCGAGGACTCATGTCGGCACAATACACAAACTGACAACATAGGTATCTAAGAAAGAGCAACCTGGACTCGCCCACGCCGAGAAAGGCGTGTACAACCCCGACCTAGCTCTCATCGAGGCCGCACGCCAGACGAGTGACGAAGAAGCCAACCTGTCTTGCAAGGAGCTCTTCGACGATTGTAATTTGGCACTGCTCTCGAAGATTGCCTGCTCTCGACTATAGTCTTACTATCCAAATTTCACTATCTACTCTACCCTTCATGAAAATGTCCTCCTCGGATGGAAGCTGGCTAAGAGACTGAATAATGCATGATGTCGAGTATTGTATGGTCTGTGAATACTCGAAAGTATAGTTGTAGCGAGGCCCTACTGCACATTGAGGCTCATAAAGGCTCAGAGAGTTTCACGAAGTCAAGTCGAATCAAGTATGTGATGATAGTCTCAGCTAGATCTCATTGAACCCCATATCCATTCCCATGCCAAGCCAAGCTCCATCAGACGATTCCTCGCTACCTCTCAAATAGCCGTTATATATCGAAAACTCCCATACTGGTCAATAAGTCCTCATCGGTCTCGCAAAAGTCGCCAACGAAGTCAACGGATGAGTTAGCTCTCTCGAAAACGGTGTTGACCATATTCCGACGAGAGAACTGGTGGGTGGTCCATGTGCTGTTCACCATATTCTCCTCTGACGATCTGTCGGTATTCGAATCACAGTCGTTGTCGGATTGTGGTGCATCATTGGCTGCCTCGAGGCAGGCGTTGAAGTTCTCCAAAGAATTGGCCTAATCGATGCATGGCGAAGGCTCTGCAGCGTCCTCAGTCTCCTCCATCTGAGATCGGCGATGATTCTTTTCGACACTGGCAGTTGTCTCCTCGAGCTGAGTCTTCAAACGTTCGACTTCTTGAGTCAGGTTTGCGTTGTTCTGCTCGAGCATGTTGACCTTTGCAATGGATTCATTCAATCGGCGATCAAAGTCTTCGAGGTCCTTGGTCTGCATGGCTTCGTATTGATCAAGCTTCTTGTCGAAATGACGTTCCATTTGCTGGAGCTGCTCATCATGGCTGCTAATCTTGTCTGACATGTCCTTGTTTATACGAGTCACTTTGCCGAGTTTAGCAGCGTATATCGTGGCTTGCTTCTTCAGGCTACCGAGCGAATCGTTGATACCTGTGTGCTGGGTCTGCATTTTGGCGTTGGTCGACTCAGCAGCCTCCTTCTGATCAACCAACGACGTGCTGAGCTCGGCAACCGTGAGCTTGATGGCCTTGATTTCCCGGTCGAATGCCTCGTCGGCGACAACGTTGTCCTCGGCAGGAGCGGGTCTTTTCCTGTTACCAAGCAAATTGCCATGGCCAGACTGGGGATCGATGGCAGGCTGGGGTACATTGATCGCACTCACAACGCTGGATACCTGGCTATCGTCGTGGGCTTGGGATTGGCTTTCAGTATGGGCCGGTTCGGCACTCGAAACCCTGTTTTGTTGAGACGACTCGAGTAGAGCTGCGTAAGATGACCGTAGACCGGAGTGACTGAGGCGGTACGTTCGTTCTTTAGCGTCATTTACAGCGTCGACATAGCTGATACTAGCCTCCGATCGAATGGCGTCGGCTTGATGACGCTCATCGTTTTTCATGTGTAGGCGGATCAACTTGAGCTCGCGAGGGAGTCTGAACCGGAATTTATCGATGTGTTGCGGCAACAGATGGACACTGTGGTTCCAGCCGGTTCGATCGCGGTCCTTGTATCGAGCTCCAACCTTGAGAAATTGATCAAGAACCCGGCAAACGGGGACGGGGATCGTCTCGTCGTCGATGTCGAGCCGGTGGCAGGAGCCCGCCCATTTCGCCCAGTCATACTCGTCAGTCCGTCGACGATCGAGGTTTGACAGCTCGTATCTGACAGTGGCAGTTCATCTGGTCGATATCTATATGCCTGCGCGATCAGGATCTTTCCAGGAGGCACGAACACCTTTGAGACCGCAGGCATTGACCCACTGGATCTTGTCTGACATGACCAGACAGTGTGCGGCCCATAGCTGAGCCACCCGGCTCTCGTGGTAGACACCGGACAAGACTCCGAGAGGGTCGAGGGCCGGATTGTTGAGCTCGATAACATCACGGAGCATGGCAATGGCGCTGCGGATGACGGGGTGCTGAAAGGGGTGGTGAGCCGAGGGCACGCTGAGCACCCAGCGGACTGCCAGAGCCCAAAAATGATTGTTGCTCAGAGTTGTTCCACCAACGGGCGGACGCACCTCGAGAGACATTTTGATAATGCGATCTCGGTTGACCTTCATCGCCTTTGGCCAAAGAAAGACCCGAATGTAAATCTCGTAGCCGCCAGCTTTCATCCAGCCCAAATCGTGCGAGGAGCCCGCGGTCACCATCATGGCCGCCTCGGCAGCAAGGTACGCGGTCAGAGGAATCTCTCCGTCGTCGCTATCGCGCAGTCGTCGGAACGCGGCGTTGCTGCTCAGCTGAGGTGGTCGAGCAGAGAAGACGAGTCGCTCGAATACTCGATCGATCCTGATGACCATATCGGCGTCGAAGGGTTGGCCGCTCTCGTTTCGAAGATCAGAGCGGATGCTGAGCTTAGTCGTCTTGAGCGACTTCTTGTCCCAAGTCTTCGAGAGGGCACCTTTTCGACCAAGCTTCATGTCGCCAACAAGATCGTCTTCGACGGAGAAGTATTCGGCAGCCCGGGCTTTCAATACATCTTCATAAGGCCCGTCGTATCTTTTACGCCAGGTTTGGATGCTCTGGGCTATTCTGATAGGCCTGTTGAGCCCAACGGGCATGACCGTCTTGTACTCGGAGGCTTTTGGCATGCTGAGAGTGGAAAGGTTAGCAGACGACGACAAGGGGGAGTATAAGAATGATAGGGTACTCGGATATCGAGTGGAGAGAACCAGAAATCGAAGCATAGACAGGGAGGGATGAGAGTGAGAGATGGGCAGCGAGGTTGACAACAAGATGGGCAGTGGAATAGACAGCGAAAAATGGAAGGCCGAGAGCGACATGGCGAGCATGCTTCTCGTAAACCACTGTAAAATACCTGGGCTATGGTTGCAATGGTTCGTCTGCGCTGTGGGAGTTCTCTGCGCCGACGTGGCTTGAGTTTTGAGGTTGGAGAAATGAGAAGAAGGAAAGGTTTGGAGCAGGGAAAATATATTGGGGAAACATATAGTGCAGGAAGCAGCAGAGTGAATGAAGAATTCATTGATGAGTGTAGAGAACAGATGAAACGGCCAGGATGTGGCATAAATGGAATATATTGGAGGGATTTAGAAGCTTTTTAGGCGAAAAACGGCAGGAGTGGAAACACTTATGATGGAAAGGGCGGCTTGAGACGGGTCTATATGATACTATACGCAGTTTGCTGCTATGAATGTCGACGTCGGTAAGCAGCATGATCAGCTAGCCGCTACAAGACAGCTGGCTCGGGCTGGTGCAACCCGGCGTCGATGAACACGATGCTAGGCTTTTGGCTGTATAGGCCGGGCTTGAGAGCTATAAAACGCGACTCGCCCAGGGCCACGCCGGGGTTGATAGACAAGACCAGGAAATCAAAGCCTTGCAAGCCTGACTTCAGCGCCTAAGTAACGTCAGTTTCTGACTCAACTTACACGATACCTCATAGGTCTCTTTACAACGAAGAAGCTGGCTCTGTCCACCGTAATGGTCAGGGCCTCGTGGACTCTGATCGGTCCGGCTTACCCTCTGTTCTACGTCTTCTTGCGGTGAGTAGCCAGATTCGGTGGACAAACATCGCTGGTAAACCTAGGTCAATCATTGCCAATCAGCTGCCTGAGCAAGAGGAATCCGACTACATAACTTGGCGCAACTACACGCTGGCCAATGTATCTGGTATCATGGGGCCGCTCATTGCTGGTGTTCTCGCCAACAGTAATTTACTCGGTCGCAAGTATACTATGGTAATCGGAGCACTCCTAACCATGGCGTTATTCTGTGGGTACATCACTTTTATGATTACTGTCCAGAATGTTGTCTTCAGCTGCGTCATAGGTTCGTCGTCAGCTAATTGTTCTCAAACCTTCACCAAGACCGATCCAACATGCTGCATCGATATCTACCACAGAACACTCTACGCGTACACAGCCGAAATCTTCCCGTCTGCTCACCGCGCCACTGGTACTGGCATTGCTGTCGGGCTTAATAGTATCATGTTTATGATTTCGGCCGTCATAGCAGCAGAGGGCGGCACTGACACCGCTGTCGA